AAGAAGTTCTTCCTTATGTCCAGTGGTCTTGGAGGAGTTTATGACCGTTTGACCTTGTCGTCCCTTGGGGAGCTCTAGTGACCAGACATTCCCCCAGATCCTGGTGGGGGAATCATGAAATCAGTTAATCACGTTAGTTTGAAGTCAGGCAGAAGGTAAGGCAGGGGGCACTGGCTCAGAGAGTCATGAGCTACATGAGTAGGTGCCACTCTGCTTCATCAGTTGCTATATCATTTGAAGTAGCTTGTTGCCTATGAAAGCTTATGCCTCACTGAACCTGTTAGTCTCTACAGTGCCACCCTGCCCTACCTTCTGCTTATCGTTTAACTTCTGTGGTTTAACTATGATTCCTTCCATAGTGTGGAGCTGAACAGTGTGGTGGTAGACTACTTCTGCTAGGCTAAAACAACCCCCCAGTCTGAACTCTTCCCAACTCTGAAAAGATTTAGACCTGGGTCCACACTTGCTGCTGCGATCCTCTCCTGAAGATCAACGCTTGAGGAAATAATTCCACCGAACGTCAGCAAAATGCAACTTCTGAGGTGCTGCAGGTATATGAGATTCTCCGGTTGTGGTGGGGCCAGATAGAATGAGAATGTGCCTTTATTATTTAAATTTCCCTTGGCAAAAATGATCATTTGAGATCAATGATTTGTGGGATTCAGAAGGGAGCTTCATCCAACTCAAAACGAGCTTTGGGGTTTTGCAAAGCCCTCAAACCCAACCGGCTTGCCTAATCCTTTGTTTCTGGCTTTGTCCATGTTAAGCAAGTGCATCTGTTTAACTAATTCCCCCTTCATTTTAAACAGCATTGATGCAAGTTTGATTAAAATCAGCAAGAGTTAAAGAAATACAAGGGCATCCCTATTGGAGAAGGTGTGGTCCTTCTGGCTTTACAGAATCGATTTTTCAAGTCCAGTTAGTGAACGCTGATGTAGCCTGTGGACTGATAGCTTTGAAAAAGCTTTCAGGGCAGTTTGGCATAGAGTTGCTGACTTATGGGATTAATCTTTGCCCATCCACTATCAGCAGTATTCTTGTTAATAGCTTTATTTATGCATTTAGTGGCAATAACAGTGGAGGTTCTCCAAGCAGATCTGCAAATGTGGACTGGAAATGAAGGCCAGTATGCTGGGAGCTTAGTGCCCCATGCTAAAATAGGTGTTTGTCTAAAGGAGGCCTGTGGAATGTCATGTACCCAAGACATGACCCCACTTCCTTCCCTTGAAGTCCCACACCCTTTCCCTCTGCAGATAAATGCCCTGGGATGACGTCTCATGGCACAGCTAGCCGATGGCTGCAATTCTGATACGATAAAATGATTGCAAACAGCCTGTTCAGGCTGTGACGACAGCTGCTTGCCCTGATTTGGGTCATTTCCTGTAGAAAAGTACTCCCCACCTGCAAAGGTGGGAAAGGGCAGACAAACTTGGGCAGTATTTGCCTAGTGTTGTAGCCGTACTGTGTAGCATGACTTTCCTCCCACGCAACAGCTGCTAAGACTTGCCATTTCTCAGCCCCACTTTCTAATGCTGATGCCACCATCCAGCCTAGTTTCCCTCCCAGCCACCCCCAACCCTGCAACAAAGACTTGATTTTATCTCCTCACTGACAGCTGAACTCAACCCCACCATGCCATGGTGACCCCAGTTGCCAAGCTCAGCCGCTTCCTTTCAGTACTGCCAACCACAACCCCTCGGCATACACCCCTTTATCCCAGGATCCACCCCTCTGAATGCTTATCCTGATTCCTCCCCCTGCTACTCAACTCCCCCAGAATTGAGAATCACTCTCCCAGTTGCTGAGTGGTAATTGCACCAGGTAATTGTACCCCAGAGACCATCCACTGTCCCCATCGCTCCTTAGACCAAATGAAAAAACTCGCCTTAATATAACAAACGATTAAGAAATTGGGGAAGAGGTGCAAATGTTCGGTATCCATAAAACGTGACTCAGGTTGGGTCATTATCATGGCCTTTTCCTTTCCCTATTGTTCCTTTCAATAAAGTGCTTTCTTATCTCTGGCTGTTGTTAGATTAGTGCCCTGGTTGTGTACTCAACAGGTGAAAGGTCTTGGCTTTTGTGCATTCAGCGGCTCAGGCTCAGGAGTTTAACGTTGTTTCCTGATACTCCGTTTGACCTAGACCTTCATGACATTTTCCAGTTTGGGTGGAGAGATGAGCCTGGAAGGTAAAATCAAGCTCTGGGACTGGACTGGGACCTTACTAGGAGCTCAGGCATGTTTGGAACTTAGCTGTGATTTGGACTGGACGAGTGGGAAGGTCTAAATGTGAAATCCAGAGGCAAACCTCTTTGAATCACAAGTGAATCGGGGCTCCTCTATCCACATCTCATGAGCTCAGTTGGAGCCGTAGGCACTCAGTTTCTTTGAAACTCAGGATCTTTTTATTTAGATACATCTAGGAACTCAGTCCTAGGTCTTCATTTCCTACGGTGTCTTTTTCTCATAGGTCTTGGATGTCCTAATGGTTTGAAATGTATCCTGATTCACAGTTCTCTGCTCTGCCATTGACTTCCTTTGTGGCCGTAGGAAAACCACGTTGTTTCTCTGTATCAGTTCCCCTGTCCTTAAAATGGGATTAATAATACTGCTTACCTGACAGAGTTGTAGAAATCTGTTAAAGGCTGACTGATGCTTCATCGCTAATGGGAGCTATGTAAATACCTTAGACAGGTAGTGTTTGGAGTGCTTGCATCTCTAAGATGACTGGTCATCATCAGGAGGGGGGATGTCTCGAGTCAGGCTGCAGGAGATGAGTTGATTTGCTATCCAGCAGTGAAATATCTTGAGCTATTTTAGCCCAATGACTGAGGGGTTTGGTGGGTCATGAAGCTGCTTGAGCTAAGCTAGTGTTTGGGGGTGAGCGTCTGCATTTCAGCTGAGCATAAAGGCCTGTAATTAGTAAAAGGTCAGATCTGATGGTGAGCTGCTGCTGACATGCTAGCCTGCACAATTTGCTTAACAAAGCTGCTTCTAAACTGATTTGAGAAGGTGGTGTTAAGTCCTATCCGTCTTTGTGACAATCCCTTTGAGTCTTGAGTAAACAGAAACCAATTTGTTATGGAAAGCAAAAGAGCTTTTTGATTCTCTCATTTATTTATTGCTTTTATTGCTTTAGGGCCTGATTTATAACTTGGCTTTCACCTGGCCTTTTGCTTGCTTAGCTCCTGTAGTTGTGTGCGAGTGCAAGTATCACATTAATATCCAACAGCATGACTGAGGGGATTTAAAACCACTCCAGTTCCCACTCATTGGCCATTACAGCTGGACGTATTGACCCAGCTGAACAACAACTCAAGAATTGTTAATGGTTGGTTATAAAATAGGCAAATCTCAGCCATAAGTGCCTGCCATTCCTTAACTATATTTCCCTATAGTTGCTGTCTCAAGGCATGACGGGAAGTCTGCACTGTGTCCCCAGCATGGGTGGGAAGGAACATATTCAAGCATGACCCACCCACCCATTGCTGCTTGTATGAGCCAAGCCCGAATGTGCCATGTTGAATCCCACCAGAGCCACTCTTGAGGCCCCTGTCTCTGGCATGGGAGAGAGCACCACTGCCACGTTTCTGGGTTTTATGCAGGCAAGCCAGATTAGGCAACCAGGGTATGCTTGTGTGACCTTCCCCGAGAGGGCTGACAGGTCCCGTTGAACAGAGTAGGTGTTTGTATCCCAGCCTGACGATGCCCCAAGTCTGGCTCTGCCACCTGATGAGCAAAAGTGAATGTCAGAGTTTAGACACTGCCCAAATGCCAGCCCCTTCCTCAGCTGTTGGGAAGAAGATAAGGTTTCCAGAGGACTTATGCTTCAGCCTCTGACGGACCAGACTGTGCTGGATTTGAAGCCACCTGTCAGGAAGTTTGAACATTGCCATCTTGATCTGGTCACTACGGGGGTTACTCTTTGCCAGCATAATGTTAATTCAATAGCAGGATGTCAGGAAATGCACCCAGGAAGGAGTCTGCTGTTCTCTTCCTCCGCCAGCACCTAAGAGACTGCACAAAAGCCTTTTGCTCCGATAACCTGGTGCAGCACACCAGCAAGCTTGGGGGCAGCCCCTCCAAGCTTGGGCCAGGAGGTTATAAAGACATAGACACTCCCTTAAGGAACGAGACAGGGTGTTGAGATTTGAGACCCAGGCCCCTCGGAGGTCCAAGATATGATGAGCCTGGTGGGAATGCTATGCAAGAGAGATGTGTAGGCCTAAAACCACCCTTCTCTCGTGTTTAATTTATTTTGCCTCAGGACGAGACCGTACTTCTGTTTTAAGGAGGCTGCCTGCTCACTCTGTACAGCATCAGTCACAAGATCCCAGAGGGAAACAAGGACCTGTAATGCAGTCGGACTGGCTGGGTAACCACTGCGAATGCACAGAGTACCATGGCCCAGGATGTGGTGGTGCAGTGGGAGGACCACATGACTCTACTCCCAGGAGAGGGGAGGACAGCAGGCTTGACACCTGCTTGAGGTCAAGAATACGGGGGGACAGAGAGAGACCTGCTAACCCCAGAGCTGTGACGGTGGGTGACACCTCCTGAAGGGTATTGCAGGTAAGGGCAGGTTCTGGTATCTCTGGAAGGAGAAGACCATGGCTGGATATTTCTAATCCAGAGAGTTCCCTGTTGAGTCAGTTGTTTCTCTTGCATGTTAAGTATGAACTTAATCTCCTATCTGAAAATGTGAAAGACAACTACCGTTTACCTTCACAGGAAGAAAAAGCCAGGGTCTTTTAAATTGGTGGAGGAAGATGTAACAAGAACCAGCAGTTGGACATTAAAGTCAGCTGCAATTACACTAGAAATAAAGCACAAGCATTTGCCAGTCTGTTTTATTAAGCATTGGAAGAAATTGCCAAGGGGAGTGGGAGATTCCTCAGTTTCTAATCCCTTCAGACGTAGACTGGAGACCTTTCCAAAACAGGTACTTTATTCAGATCAAGTTGCTGGGATACGACACACAGAAAATAGCTCAGCCTAATCAGAGCATATGAGTTTCATTTATTCTTTCAAAGAATATGCAAAAATCACTGGGAAATGATTGTCAGCTTTCATCACCGCTGCAATTGCCTTCTGTGGTACATAATGTTTTGTTCTTTTGTAAATGGCATGTCCGGAGCTAGAAACAGAGCTGTACCGCATTGCATCATTTACTGATCCCAGTCCCCCCACCTCACTCCCTGCCAAACGGAGCCCCGACTGTCTGAGCCTTGTTTCACCTTGTGCATACACATCGTAGCTCTGCGACCTGATGCACAGGCCTCACTGGGAGGCCTTGGCCCTCATCTAAGGTTCAGATCTGGTCTCTAGGATGCACTGGGTCTCAGGCTGCATTGTGTGGTGGAGTGAAGCCTTTAGTCATTCACTGTTGCACTGAAAATCAATAAATATGTTTATACAAAAAAGTTCATATATTAAAAAAATCATTATGCTATTAAAACACCCTTCTTTCTCAGTCTCCTTATCATTAACCTTTGGATGTTCCAGCTCCTGAGCCCTGATTGAGGAAACCACTTAAAAGCATGGGATTATATCCCTATTCAGGGCAGCCTTCAATCACGTGCTAAACTCCCTGGACTTCAGCAGGAGCGAAGCTTCGTGTTTGTTCTGGGAAGAGGAAAGCTTTCACTCCGTTGGGGGTCTTTCTCAGCCAGCTGATCAGCAGCTGTAATATCTCATTGAAGGGCAAGGTGATGGTGATGGAGGGTGGTATGGGGAGGCTGGCAGGACCCCAGTCAGTGACCAGGAGGATGGGCATGCCAATGTGATCCCAAGAGCTGTCAAGCTTTATCAGTTCAGTTTTCACATGTGTGTACTTCATTCCTTTCCTTTAAAGCTGAACTCCCAGAGGCAAGACATTGTGCGATCTCCTTTAGTCTGCCTTATACACCTGAGTTATCTCACTGACCCAAATGGGTCATTTATTGCAAGCAGGATGTGGCCTGCATGCAGACGGGCTCTGATCCTATGAGGTTCTGAGGGCTGCCTGGGAGAACAGCATCACTGGCATTGAGGACGCTCAGCAGGATCAATCCTGCGAGACGTAAGGGAGTTCTCTTTTAACATATGGTAGGTAGAGTGCTCATGATTCCAGTTCATTAAAAGCCTTAAAATTTAAACCCAAGCACACACGCGCGCGCACACATACACACACAAGTATAAAAATAAAATCTGTCTTCTTGGGTTATCCCTGCTGCAGGATCCCACAGCAGGAGATTCCAGCAAGTCCTGAACCACTGAGATCAGCCATGCAGACGTTCAGTCTTGGGGGTGGAAAAGGAGGCTCAAGAGAGCAGTTTCTCATCTTCCCTTTTAGGACATGATGTAGACCTCCAGCAAGCTGGCGACTGCGTGCATCCGATAGAAGATCCCGAAGGGCAAGCAGATGTCCACAATGGCAGACCACATGGGCTTGCCATAGAAGTCAAGCTCCTGCTTGTTGTCAAACTGAGGCCGGGCACCAAACGCAGGCATTATCCAGAGCTGTATTGGGGGGAGAGAGAGCAAATAGGACGGTCTCAGTGTGAAAGGTGGGACAAGGTAAGTAACTACAGTTGCTTCTGCTAAGTGACTTGAAGGGTGGAACAGACAGAAGAGGGAAGATGCATCTTCTATGTCCAGGACCATCTCAGAGATGGCCCTTGTGTCCATTCCATTGTCAGGGAAGCCTGTAGTCCTCCAGAAGCGAGAGTACTGGACATTAAAGCCTTGTTTTACTCCCCTCTGCGTTCTGGTCCAGCCCACTCATTTCCCCCCTGTGCATGCTAAATCCTGGACGTAAGGTGATGTAGCTGTATTAGAGTGGCGCCGAGTGTGTGCTAATACGTGTGCCTGACTTGGAGAACCGAAGACTGGTTCTGGGTCATGTGCATTATGATGGCTGCATCACCTCATGTACCTTTTGGTGCAAGCGGGCAGATAGATGAGACCTGAAAGCAACGTTAACGGACCTTAAACACCCTGGATCATGTGCAAATGTGACTTGGCATTTAGTGACTCTAAAGACTAATCTGTGCTTGGCTTGTTTGGAAGCCAGGGCCTTATGAAACATGCCTCTTCCTCAGAGCTGCCCTATAAATCAAAGACAAGGGATGCTCAGACTACCCTGAACTGCTTCCCCTGACAACGTGCAGGATGAAGGCATGGTTGTAAGACAAGGGAAGGCTTCTCAAAGAAGCTACTGCAGACTCTGAGGTCTGTCAGTGAAGGTTGAGTGCAAGCTGACCCAGAGATGAAATGCCAGCCCCACTGAAGGCAATGGGATTTCTTTTCTACCACTGTCCTCACTGGAAGTAACCTTCCATCCCTGTTTTAAATGCCTGTTACTGAATTTAATTTCTTTGGATATGTAAGAAGAGAAGTTAGATCAGGCTCTAGATGCATTTTTCCTTGCATAGAAAAAGGAATGGTAAAGGGTTATTGCACTTAATGAAAAATATTGGACCTGACCTCCCCTCTCACTTGTACCAGTTGTACAAATTTGGGGGGTAAATTCTCTTTTGGCACAAATTGCAAAACCCTGCTCTGGGTTGGTGTATCTGTGCCCAGCTATGCCGTTGGAATGCTTGTTCCTATAGCATCTTTGATTTCAGAACAGGTGAAGTGAGAGGCGGGTTGTGCTTAGGTTTTTTTCCCCAAAGGAGATCCCAGAAACTTGCTAGTGTGCTTTGCTGCTAGGTGCTAGGGCAAGTTTTCCTTAGACCACATGCTCTCCTCCCCCAAGGCAGAGAAAATGGCCATTCAGAAATGTACTTACAATTACATTGGACAGTAGCAGGAACAAGGAGATCTCCCTTAAGGCTTTGCTCCTCCAGTTCACCTTCTTGGGCATCCTTATGGACTGCACATCATCAGAAGCTTGGATTGCTCCTGGGTTGGGGGGTGTGCTGGATCCTAGTACGCTGCCACCATCGGGGATCCGGAGGGATATAGTGTTGATGTTGACAAAGGTGAGTCCATACAGATCTTTCCGGTGGGGACTGGTTTTGTGTCTTTCTTCAGGGGGCTGCCGGTGAAGGCCTTCGACGATGAAGATGTTCTGGAATGTGTGCTGGGCGATCATCAGCAGCGAGTAGGTCAGGTTGAGGGCACTTTTGGTATCCCTTGAAGTGCTGGCCACGACAGCCACAATGGAGTAATAGGAGATGGCATACTGTCCTAGGGCTGCTCCCATTAATAAGGCCACATCCAAAGTTCTTGTTGGGTTCTTGTGACGGTCCATGTCTCTCTTGTCAAGCCTGTAGACGACGGAGCCTCCAATGCAGACCGCAGACATCAGGCTTAGGCAGACTATGTTGAAGATGTAATACATGATGAGCGCTTGGTTCGTCTTCTCTTCGTTGCTGTGGGTGTTCACTTGCACTTCATACACAATGAGAACCCCCAGCCCGCTCACCAGTACGATGAGCCCCAAAACAATACCCACAAAGAAGGTCCTTCTGAAAAGCCTGAACTTCAGGTGGTGGACAAGGTGGGCGTGATCATCTATGAGGCGTCCCACGTTCTTCCACATGACATAGACCATGGCAGAGGCAAAGAGGCTGTACTCTATGTTGAAAGGGTACAACCAAAAATAGCCGTTCTGGAAGATCTCGCAGATATGGGTTTTGCATTGACAAACATCCGCCGAGGAAGCTTTTCCAGCTAGAGTCAAAAAGACATACACATGTTACAGTATTTTTGTAGAGCTCAAGCTTTGAGCAGGTGGCCCTGAAAAGCCTGGGTAGGCTCACGGAAATCCATGAGCAAAGGTAAAAGTAGATGTCATGACTTCTAAGCATTTAAACCTGAGGTTACCTTTTGCCAAACATTAGGCAACAACCCTCTCTTCCTCTCTCTACCCATTTCCCATCCCTTCTTTTTTCTTTCTGTCCTGTCCCATTTTCTTCCCTTCCTTTTCATTTTCCTTTTTCCCTGTGTCCTTCCCTATTCATTTCAGTCCTGCTTCTTCAAGCCCATTCCCCATTCTGATCCCTCCTAGATGCAAACTGAGAAATAAATACCAAAGGCCAGATCATGATATTTCTGCTCAGACTAAATAGGACCTTAACTCTGTGTGGTCTTCTTGCATTCATACACGAATTACCACTCAGCATGAATAAAGGTATCAGAATCCAGGTGTGAGAGAGCTCTGTCCCTCTGTGGCCTACTCTTCAGGCCTTGGCAGTTTTATTAACTGGCAAATTACCTTTCATAATCAATGCTGCTGATTGCTCAGTTGTGGAGTTGAATTTTGAGTGTGATTTATGCACCGACTCATCCGTTACTGCTGACATCCACACAGCCAGGTTCGTGGTCAAAGTCAGCATCAAGCCACACCTGTACAAGAGAACGGAGAGCCATGGTGTCAAGACATGGCCTGCTCCAGGCCTCAAAGAGCTCTTCAAACATTGGTGGATTGATTGTCACTACCATAAGGCAGGCACAGGTCATCTCCCCTATTTTATATAGAGAGAAACTGGAGGAGAACCAGTGATTGCTTGAGTTTACAGAGGAAGTCGCTGGAGAAAAGAAATCCAGGTTTCATGACTCCTGGTCTACTGCTCTAACCACTCCCTGTTGCTTTCCCTTTTCAGACTGACTAGTAAGCTTTGATCAAGTCTTTATTCCTCTTGTTTCCAGCTCAGCCTTCTAGCAGGGTAGGGCTGGAAATCTGGTGGGCTAACGGGTCAGGGTTGGTCTGTCCAGAAAAGTGGATTCAGCCTTGCAAAAGGAGAATGTGAGATGCACTGATTTGGTTTCTTGTTCTTTCAGCCTTTGGATCTTCCTGGTGCTCTGTGGTGCTTTGTCTTCCTTCTCTGGTGCCAGGGAGTCATTCAGGAACGTTTTAAAGTGCTACTCACTGGCATTTTTAACGGTGCCTTTGGGCTACTTGCGGGGATCACTGCTAGGCTGCTGGATCTCAGAACATAAGCCACCAGTGCCTGAGCTAAGAGCCACAGTTGTGAGAGGCTGATGTGCCCTGCTTTGATTTGGGCCATAGGGGGCCCTTACTGGGGAAGGCATACCGGTAGCAGTGACATGGAGATGGGCAGTAAAGTAGGTGCCTCTGACTGCAGCAGAGGCTGTGTGTTTGTGGCCGAGGGCTGGGGGGCGGTATACAGAGGTCTCCTCCCCACCGCTGGGCGAAGTACTTGCCTGGTGACATCCAGGTGCACTTGGACACAGTGTTTGGCAGAAATCCATAGAAAGTATGTCTGAAAAAGATATAAAGAATGATTTAAAAGGCCCCTCACACCTGCCAGGCAATGGATCTAGCCACTTCCCTGCTTTTTATCTGGCTTATTATCCCTCCCACCCCTCTCCTCTGGCATCACTCCAGGTCCTTGTACTTCCGCAGCTGTTGTAGCTGCCCCACGTTCTCCGCTTGTGCCCTCACAGATCCTCCTCCTGCCTAAGCCTGCTGTGGCACTGCCTGCTTCTACCAGGCCTCACTGCACATCATTTGTTCCTGTTTCCTCTGCTTTACTCCACAGCGTTCATGGAGAACGGGGCTTCCCGACCTGGAAGTCAGATTTCCCTCTCCTCTGCCACTGACAATAAAAAAACAGATGTCAGGGGCCATGGCCACCCCCTGCCCTTTCTGTATGGTTAACGGAAGAGACCAGCGACATGGGAAGAGGATTTCAGGTGGGCAGTCCTGGAAGATGATAGCAATTTGTGCTATGGAAAGCATCTGTGAGCCACTGACATCCAGCAAGTCATGATTGTGTATTTATTTATAATAAGTGATCAAATATGTTCTTGCCAATGGAGAAATGTATGCGAGCTGGCTGGGCCTCCCCTGGGAAGCTCGGTCTAGTCGAGGGGGACACCTGAGCTCCCTGGTCAGACAGTAGCTGAGGACCCATTGGGACTCCCTGATGCATTGTACCAGGGTTCAGCCTGGCTTCTCCAGCATGCCCAGCTCACCTGGATGATCACAAAGATGGCCTGCACAACTGGGTAGATGATTTTGATGGCAATCTGGCAGTTCTCGAAGCTGGAGTAATACCCAATTTTAAACACATCCATCACAAGGCTGAAAATGGCAAACATGACCAGGCCTCCTGCGGAGGAATCAGAGGAAATCAGAGGTGCTGCAGTGCACGTGTGTTGGGTGTGGAGGCATGAAAGAGGTGCTAGTACCAATGGACAAAAGGAGGAAGAGAAGCTGTATTGCTATTTAGAGGTTGATGCCACCTTAGGATTCTCCTCTGAATAGTTCAGGTCTGATTTTTACCCCGGCTGAAACATTCTTTATACCAACAGCCCTTGTAAGGGGAAAGTGATAGCACTGAAGAGGAATGTAGTGCTTCCTGGGCACGAAGGAAACCTCCAAGATAAAGACCAACCCAGGCAGGACTTGGGTTAATGAGACCATTGACTAGACCAGCTCATGGACAGGCATGGGGTGAATACTGAGGAGAACTTTCTGATGCTTGGAGAGGGAAGAGATGATGGGTCCCAAGTCGGGCCGATGCATTCCCCATAGAGCACTTATGTTTGAGCTTCCACTGTGGCCTCATTCAGTATCTGCTCCTCACCCAAAGACTTAGCATGAGGGGGTCTCCCTTACCTCTCAGCCAGACGGGCCCTGCATGGGAGTCCTTGTAGAGGATGGCATTCCGGCGTTTGGAAGTGCCAACAAGGTAGAAGAATATCCAGATAATGACGATCAGCATCATGACAGTCAGCAGGAAGAACACGTCATAGTCATGCACAGCGATCTTCTCAAAGGCCCCGCTGCTCACTAGGGTGCAGGCTAATAGCACTAAATGAACAGCCAGCAGGATGGAGAACAAGCGCCCTCCTTTCTTCCAGACCTCCTTGGGCCTGGACGTGGAGGGAGACAGGTGAGGTTGATGGGCTAAGGTGCCCTTGTCATCTTTGTGACCCAAACTCACGATTGAGTCTTCATGTCCGATCTCACTGTCGTTTTGCGCGGGATCCTCTGGCATGGTTCAACTAGGGCTGGAGGCACGGGCTGGTGCTGTTGGGAGTAGAAACCTATGTTACAAAATCAGCGTGGCCTATGGCTGAGACAAAGGGGGTGGGGGAAGCTGGAGATACCCAGAGCAGAAGTAAGGGGAAGGCAGGAGAGCAAGAGATAAAGAGGGACGACTGCTGTTATTTCCCCCCCAAATCCCACCCCACTCCAGGTATTTATCCATTCAGATAAATACCCACTACAGCCATGTTTCTCTGAAGTAACTGTGCCAGTGTGAACTCATGGGATACTATTATGAGAGTCCCCTGTGGGAGCCTGAAGAAGGTTCAGTGTCAAAGGAAGATGCAGCTACTGGAGGGAAATGAGAAGAAATTCCCCTGCCTCACTTCATCCCATTCTGCTGTTATTCTTTCCCTGCAAGACTTCTGCGTTCTCAACATCAATTTACTTTTAATGGGGCTGCACTTTTCATTCAATACATGTGCTCCCAGTTTCTGCAGTTGCTGGAATGCAAATTAGCATTTGTCTCCCTGCTGCGGGAACGCCTTAGATTTTAACAGATTTGTTTAAGAATGTGGAAAACACTTCGTCAGTCATGTTTGGTCACTGATACCATTTTGGTTGTGCGTGCTGTTTTGCTGCCTTTGAAATGTCATGTTAATGCATGCTTAAGCATGTAGGAATGAATGTAATGTTAGTTGAACATGAAAATTAATTACACAGGTAGCACGTGCCTAATAGACAGTGTAACACGTTTGTTGATGTAACCTGTCAGAAAGCACTGGGATGCAGGTAAGATCAAAGGTCTTGGGGCAAATGGTTGGATTTAAGCAGCAGCCTTGAAACCTGAAGACAAAATGCCATGCTATGTGGCATGAAAAGAGACTAATTGAAGCAACAAGCATGAGAACTCTTCAGGCTAGCACATCATGGTCCATACAGAAGTATGCATTCAAAGCAACAAAGTCCCTTAGCCATCTTTTCTAGCTTTCCAACTCATCCAGTGCACATTGCTACTTGCCAGGATCAGCTCAGTACTTCTGCATGAAATCATGACTCTATCATAATCTAAACCTGAGGTGAACAATCCTCGAGAGCCAAACTAGCATGTAAAAAGCTAAAAACTGTTCCACCAACCTGCTTTCCCACTGGCAGCCTGAATCTCCGGTCTGTCTTGAGCTTCTCGGCAAAGTTCCTCTTCCCTCCAATCAAGTCAGCCAAGGAATTTATACCTGTTTGGACATCTTGATTTACACCATCTCTGGAACTGACAGTGCTGCTTCATAAACTCAGTAAAGGTCACATGCTCCATTTTGTGCAATGGCTGATTTTAGGGAAGAAAGAGAGAGATGGGGAGATAAGAATTATATGAGGAGAGGTGTGAGCGTGGCTGGGCATGACTTTGGCCACCCCACTAGGTCGTGGGTTACCGGAGGAAAAGGTCTGTTAGCTCAAGTTCACCCCCCTGGAAAGGATGGTAGTTGTTCCCTCCCCGCCAGATAGGACATATTAGATGCTAAAGGGATACTTCATTTGATCTCAGCTGCTGCTCATGGGCTGGACCCTCGCCCACTAATGCTGGGTTCCAGCCCGTATTGCTCCAGTCGTCCAGGTGAAGCCTGACCCATCTGGACACATTCGGGAGAGAAAGGAAAGAACCCATCCTTGTATCCTTTTGGTCCTGGGCCCTGCCTAGCTTCTCCCTGCTCTACTAGTGATTAGGGCAGCATAGTACCGGGACTGAGGAGAACAAGCTGTCCTCACTCACTTGGTCATGTAGCTCCAGGCAATCCTCTGTCCCAGTGGTTTTCAACCTTTTTTCATTTGCGGACCCCTTTAAAAAATTGGAATGGAGGTGTGGACCCCTTTGAATTGTAAGTCTGGGTACTCTTATACTTTTGCTTGACCATAGTCATTTTTGCGGGCCCTTAGACATAGTCTGCGCACCCCCAGGGGTCTGCGGACCACAGGCTGAAAACCACTGCTCTATCCAAAAGCAGCCTCAGTCCTGCTGGGCTGGAATGACACCTTCCTCTTTGCCACCACTTTATTTTCCTTTGCTGTCTTTCATCAAAAGATAAGCTTTCCTATAGGAACTCTTGTGCATTTCTAAGTCATAGAGCCATTACATTTCACTTCTGTAGCCAAATATTGGGCTCACAGCTGCTCAGGCTAGGAACAAAGCTGGTCCTTAACAGATAAAGAGAAGTACGCAATGTGTTGGTGAGCAATCTCTTACAACAGACAGCCACCAGGTAAGAATGACCTCCCCTCCAGGTATCATTGAAGTTTCATGTCTCCCTTGCAGCTTTCTTCTCTGACTCAAATAAGGCTACTAGGGGCTGAAGAGGTTCCTCCCAGACCTATGTTCCCATCTCCTCTGTTTTCTTTCCTGTAACAATCTATTGGGGTTTGGATAGAGACTGAGCTATGGTCTGTGGATCTTCATTTCCCTCCGTTACCAACAAATGCCCCTTTTCTCTGCAGTATGTTTGCACTGCAGTGTGGTACATAGACACCAAAGATAGCGGTACACAAGCTAGTGGGAGTACCAGAAACAGCCTGACTTCATGCTAAGGATAGGAAGACTCAGCTTAACCATGACTCTTTCCCCTTTGCTGCCCTATGTTGGCTGGGATGGGGGCTGTTTTGTCCCCTTTTGCCCTGCTTTTTGCAGTACCCTCAGCTAATTTTTCCATCCCATCTGTATTCATGTTTGTTAGTGTGCTGCTTTCCCCGCCCTCAATAGACAGAAATGGAAGAGTTAGAATTTTCTTCACTGAGTAGCAGGAACTTCAACTCTGGCATCACCATGATCATCATAATGAGAAGGATAGTAATAATTACAGAATTAATACTTAAGTAATAGGGAGCTTGCATTATACGGTGGCCTTTCATCTAAGAGGAGCATCAAAACAAACAGGTCATTATCAAATCACTTAACCTCTTAGGGCCAAATCTGGACAATGACATAAGTGGATACAATTCTATTGATGTAAGCAGTTTCTACATCTGAATTTGGCCTCATCTCTAGAAGACCTATATGCTGCCCAGGAGACTTGGGGAGTAGTTGTCTGCACTGAGATCCATTGGTGTGACCTCAGCTGCGTGAACAGAGCCAAGCTTGCTTTAAACCAGCTATCCTGGGTACAGCAAACTGTACCTATGGTAGGACGGGGCTTCAGCATGGGCTGCAAAATCTGTCTAGGACCCTGGGTAAAAGCTTCTGTTTACAAAATCCTTTGAAGATGGGGTGGGCCAAGAGCCATTGCTTAATGCCGTGTAGGGTGTCAACAGATGTCACATTTATCCTGGGAGAAACTATTTTATCCTGGGACAAAGTCCAATTGTACAGATGGTCATGTTTACTGTCCTGGGATAAACCCTAAAAAAAATTCCTGGCTAGGAGGCCATAACAGTTTATCCCAGTATGTCTGTATAGTTATCACAAGATTGCCCGATTGAATCAATGGCAGAAGAGCAGTACTACATTCAGCCACTAACCCTTGACTAGAAGGGTGATGTATGTATATCCAAAACCAGGATATTTTTGTTCTGGGACAAACACAGGTACAACTTATCCAGGGACAAATGCAACATCTGTTCCTAGCCTAACTCATATTATCCTTGCCCCCTTAGCTTCAGCATCTCTCTTGCTCTGTCCTTCTCTGTATCCTCTTTTAAGTCCCTTTCTCCCTCTCTCCATCCCTCCTTTTCCCTGCCTCAGTATTACTTTGTCTTTCATCTCAGCCCTTTCCCAGTCCCTCTTTTTGATTTTCTCTTTTCTTCCATCTCTCCCCCACTCCCTGCCTTCTTGTCTGTGTCTTGTGCCCTGGCCCCAAATGCCACTGATCCACACCAAGCACCGTCCTGTTGACTTTGGTGGGGATTTGCCTTTAAAGCGAACTGTTTTCCAACTCCCATAGCCCAGGCATGCAGGGATCCCATTAAGCCTGAGAGCGCAACAGGAACTTCCTTGCACTTTATACTGCATGTCTCCCTTATGTGCTCTGGGAATGGGAGTTGATGTGGAGTGCAATGCGTTGGGGTCCCCCCGGGGCCAGACAGCAGAAAGGCTGGTTGTGGACTTGGTTTCCTTTGAACACCAGAGGGTGCCGCAAGACTGTGAGAGCCAGAGAAGTATTCATCTCTGAGCTTCAAGGGAAAGCAGCAGACAGTAGCGTTTCAAGGTGGAACTGCCCCAGCACTTAGGAGCATGTGGGAATGGGACAGTCCCCGGCTCAGCGCTGGATTTGTCAGTCTGCTGGCTTTTACCCTATGTCAAGAAAGCTGAGGCCAAATCACTTATATGGCCCCCAGAGTCCTCAGATAACCACTTGGGATGCTCTGCTGGGCAGAGGCAGGGGACTGTGGAGCCCAGGCAGGCTCTGGTGCTATATAGGCACTCTATATTCACCCCTGAGCTTGGTGGGAGGGGGCTGCTGTGGTGGGCTAGGGTTGAGGGGCTGTTGTGTGTATAGCTCATGCAGGCAGGCCTCTTGGTGCATGCATACATACCACTATTATGTCTTATTTTTACCATGAAAAAAATAGGCCAGAATCATTTTCAAGAGGAGACTGGACAGTCACCTTGCTGGGGTCGCTTGACCCCAGTTGTCTTCCTGCCTAGTGCGGAGGGGCTGGGCCCGATGATCTGCAAGGTCCCTACCAGCCCCTTACAATCTATGAATCTGAAAAATAAGCACTAGAAAATGAATAAACGGCCTGAACTCTAGCCCAGGCATCACACTTCGGTCCTTGCAACTCCCGTCCCCCTGGAAACTGGGAGGGTCTCATGATGTCGGTGCAGTTTCTCTGCTTTTCCCTGGGTGCAAGTGGCATTGCATGGGCCTCGATGCTGTCCCAGGCGCCCTGGCATTCAGGCTGCCGTGGTAGGTATATTGGAGCAGGACACAAGCCTGAGTTCATTTAGCTTTTCTCCCCGCTACAAGGTTTGCTGAAGGAGCCTGACGGGACTTGCTGTGAGGGGCCATCGCTGCCCTGTCTCTGCCGCCCAGGAGTGGTCCAGGACTGTTTGGTGGAGCTCTCAACGCGCTTCAGGGGCTCAACTGTGTCTTTCGCTGCCAGGGGAGCGTGCGATGAGGCCTGACCAGGGCGGGAGGATGCTTAGGACCCAGGGGAAGCAGCTTCTCCTGCTTCATTTCAAGGAGATCCTCCCCTCCCTGCACAGGACTTCTCAGGTGTCCCTGCTCTGAGCTCTCTCCTCCTCCCTCACACCCGGCTTCCCTGGAGCTCCTGTGCAAGCCCATGCCCATCCTTTAAACCATCCCCAGTCACCTGCCTCCCTGATGAGCTCGCCAGGGGCCTGCTTGGCACCATGAACGACCAGTACCACCGAGCCGCCCGGGACGGCTACCTGGACCTTCTAAAGGAGGCCACCAAGAAAGACCTCAACTCGCCCGACGAGGATGGCATGACCCCAACTCTCTGGGCCGCTTACCACGGCAATCTGGACGCTCTGCGGCTGATCGTTAGCAGGGGGTAAGTGCTGCTGCCTGCCCTGTGCTCTTCCCAGTATTGAGTTTGCAGCCGGGTGAAATCCCATCTCCCCCCTCCTCACCCGGGTCAGGAAAGCTGTGGGTGCCGTGAGACTGATGGCCCTTGTCGTGTGCGTGAGTCCGCCTCTCCCTTCCTCCCCTCCACGCTAACCCTTTTGGAGCGAGTCGGTTTGTCTGATCCGGCCTGTGGGATTTCTAAGTTTACTCCTCCCTGAAACATTTAGGTGCCTGGAAAGGGGGAAGTCATCAATTAACCCTGCATTAAGTTGGGGGCAGCGTCGGCTCACACGTGGGGCGCTACGCTTACCATGTGTCCTGATCAACCGTTCCTCAGCAACACCTAGACAAGCCCCCTCGGGTCACCTCCAGCCCCTCCTAGGCTACCCCAGTCCTCAGCTACTTGCTAACGCAGCCAGTGCACCGCTGAATCTGCAACACAGCTGCAATCCCATGCCTCCCCGTCTGCCCCAATGCACCTGGCACCTGGTTTGCAAAGCTGCTGGGAATGCAGCATCCCAGCCCCAGCCCTCCCCTGAGCAGGTGCTGGATCTAAGCAGGATTTGAATGCAGACCGGCAGCAGTGAAAACCTACTGCCTCAGGTCGTGGTCCAAGCACTTCTCTGACCTTTCGAATGAAACAAACAAAAAAAGACCTGTCGCTTTTTTGTTAAAAAGAAACGCTTGTGTAAGGAGAGGGCAGGCACTAATGGGAGTGGGTGATGTTTGCTTACCCCAAACTGGTGATCAAATGTGTGGCCTGTCTGGGACACAGCCTGGGTTGGAGTTTGGAGCAAGGAGAAACTTTAGGCGTCTAAGTCTTTTCCATAGCAGATTTTTTTTTATCATAGTACCCCCAGTGATGGGTGCTTGTGGTTAATGCTGACCTCTTCCTCATTATTCTTAGTCTGAAAGGGGCATTGGTTGAAAAAGGGTCCTGCAATTGCAAACCTGGGTGCAGGGAGCTGCAGGGATGAGGAAGAGGATTGCTTGTTAGAGTGGACTGGTGAAATGTGCTGTGGTAAAGGAAAACGAGGCCTTTCTTGGGGAGTTTGTCAGCCGTGGGAGGAGTGGAGGAGGGAGAGATGACTACAGAGGGAGAAGCAGTAAAATCACTGGTTCCTGTTAACCAGCCCAATTTGCCTTCAGGCTTCGCTCCCTCTGGAGATCGATCCCAGGTCAACTGGAGGAAGGAAAAGCAGGAAGTTTCTGGGAAATGCGGTGTCTTAGTTGGGCTAAGGGCCAGTTTTGTGATAAGGGTGTGGGAGAGAAGGGGTATTTCTGCTTCAGAGGAGGCGGCTCATTTAGGATCAGGAGTGGTCCAGGGGCTTGTACTAACCATAGACAGATGTGCTGAACGCAGATTTTATGTGTGGTCCCCAAGAGCGCTGCCAACAAGCCTCCAGCCTGCCTGGGAATGGGTGTTCCCAGGGTCTAGATGGTTTGAGGTGCGAGTCCTCATGCAGGTCTCCTAAAGCACCCCAGTTCCAGACCTGAGATGCCTCTAACCCCAAGGCACTGCTCAGAGTTTTGCTAATACACCACAGTCCTGAGCTATATCCCAGGCCTCAGTGGTCCTCAGATAGGTGCTGCTCAGTTTGATGGAGGGTCTGGGGAATGCAGCAAAGTGTGGAGCGGGTTTGGGAACGTACCTCCATTTTTTTCTGGGGGGATACGAGGCCAAATTCTTGCCCTCAGCACTGACTTCAGTGGGACCGGTGGCTGGAGGAAAAATTTGATCTAGTTTTGCCAGCCCATCTTTATAGCAGGCTTGCGACCCTTGGATGAAAGGTATTGAATATGAACGTCAAACGATTTTCCCTGTGAGCAGATGCAGTCAGTGCCTACGTCTCCTGGGCCAAAGTTGGTATGTGGCGGGTGATACTGGTGGGAGGTAACGGGTGTCTGCTCCGTGGGGCCTTGCCTACCGTGTTCAGAATCATTGAAGGGGTAAATTTTCATTCCTGAAGAGCATGTGCTCTTTGCTGCAGTCCAAGGGGCT